AGTCAATATTTACATGATATTTTTAAATTTCCACGCTTGTTTGAGGAAAAATAATCGACTCGGAGGGACTACGAGGTTAGGTCCTAATCACGGCTCGATTCGAGCTTTAAGCTCGGGCAGTGTGCATGTGAAGCGGTACCACTTATCACTAAACTGCCTTCCACCTCAACTAATCATAAGTGCAAGTAATTTATACTCCAGGCCACCAATTAATTAATGGCATAATTCAGTTGATTTGTGCCCATTATTTGCAATGACTGATATAGCCCACGCTGAATTAGGTGAATCTACTCAATCTATGCCAGAGAGGTTGGTTGTGGATAGAAAGTGATATCTTGTCGCACTCCTCTTACGAGTACTCATTAGTATTTAGGCCAGATTCATTTTGTTTAGGCCACCTTATGATTCCTCGACGATCACATCATTAGCTTTTTGTTTGAAATGCTGGAAGTGGAAGTAAATGGGGTAGTAGGAACAGGCACCGAAAACCGAACACTCGATTCATCCACAATTGCATTCTCGGTAGAAGCTATAAAAAGCGGAGCCGTGCTTCAATCGACCTCCGTACGCCGCGCGTCTGAATCTCTTCCAAAATCGCTAGAGTATTTGAATGAGGATCTGACTTCTATTATACAATGACTAACGGAGGCGAGCAAGGTTCATATGTATTCATTCACCGAGATAACACCTAAACTAAAGATCCGAGAGAGATAATTAACTGATGCCTGCCGGGGTTAACTGTCCTGTACCGTGGCGTTTCCAGCACATGCGCTAATAAAACCCTCTCTACATGTACGACTTCCCATAAACCACGGCATGGTCTCGCTGCTTCCATGACGTAATTTCGACTTGAAACAGCGAATTGTAAGGTTTCAAAATGACTTCGACATTTCGAAACCTTCAAGTTTTTAATAAAAATTTGAATGAGTTTTGAAAAATCCGTTAACTTTCCAAACACGCGGTTGTAGAGAAGCACGTCGACACATAAAGAAACTACGGGTTTCTTCGAAGAAGAATCCTCTCTAAGCACTGAAAGAAAGGCCTATAATAAAGCGCATAATCGAAAAGTACAACGAAAACATAATAGAGGGAAGTGGGTTGCTATAGCGCAAAATTTTTAAATTCTATAGAAAAAAGAGCTTTATAGAAATTT